CGGGGGAGGGGAAGGGGAAGTTGTTAACTCGGAAATCTCCAGGCAGCTGAAATCTTAGGGGAATGTCCTCTGTCCAAACACAACTTCAGATATGCATGGTTCTAACGTGTGTTCATGCAAAAATTTTGGCAAGAAAATTGTTCTTTGAACAGATAGGTCATTTTCGAAATCAGGCTGAAACGCGTCTACCTTGCCGGAGCGATCATGCGTTTTCGCACCGGACTTGAGGTAATTAACTTCATGAATAGTCGTTGCTTCAACAATTACCTTGTGCGCTCAATATCGCAAATCATAGTAAATTTTGCATAACCGAAAATAAACAGTTTCCGTTTGGCGGTCGTTTTCATGCGTTTTGTGCTGTGTGACAGCATTACAAAACGCATATTGTCACGGGTTGTCTGTTTGTGTGTATGTATGTATGTCCCACATTTTGTCCCACACTTTCAACTCGGGAACCGCAAAAGCTAGGTGGCTGAAATTTTAGTATGGTGTTCCTCGCCAACGTGTGATGCAGCATATTTAAATCAGCCTTTCCGTTTCCGCAGGTAATACGTTCGGCCCTATGAAAGTTTTGGCGGGTAAAATTATTATCTCGAGTACCAAGAAAGCTAGGAAGCTGAAATATTGTGGGTATATCCCGTGACCACGTGCGACCGAGAATACTCAAATTCATCCTTCCTGGACCAGCGGGTGACATATACGGCTCGGTGAAACTTTTGGCGGGTTAGCTATTATCTCGGGAACCGCGGAATCTAGGAAGATAAAATTTTAGGGTAATAACTTCTGCCCACGTACGCTCTCGAAAATCCAGTGTTCCCAGCTGTCGAGTATCACCTACCTCCCCTTGAAACTTTGGCGGACAAATTATTATCTCGGAAACCATGGAAGCTAGGAAGCTGAAATTTTATGGATATCTCTCCTGGCCAGGTGCGACTCAAAAAACTCAAATTCTTTCTTTCTATGCCCGCGAGTAACACTATGGCCTCGTGAAACTTTTGGCAGAAAATTATCTCGGGAACCATGAAAGCTAGAAAGCTGAAATTTCAGGACGATATTTTCTGCCGCTGCAGGTATTTCACTGGCTCAATTTTAGCTCCCAAGTGTACAGAGGTATTGCGTAAGACCAACTGAGAATTTTGCTGTGAAAGTCGTTAACTCGAAAGCCGGAAAACTAGAAGTTTGAAATTTGAGAGGATGTTCCTCATTCATGTTTTCAAATTCAGCTTCCACGTACCGGCATGTGAAATTTTCAGTGGGAATTCCTCACCTTAGGAGCCAAGCAGCATATCCACTATTTTTCCATACACAAAAATGTAAAACAGTTATATTTTAAGCAAACGTTCGCTGGGCGGAACTGCGCAAAACGCACGATTGCACCGGCTACCCTGGTGCGCTTCGTTATTTATTTGATAATGACCCACCTGTTCAGTGAGCAGTTTTCCCATCCAAAAATATATGTAACCGTACACGAGGGCCACGCATACCTGGAGGCTGAATTTGAAACCTTTGACTTGCATTTGGACGGGTAATATTCTCCTAAAATTTAATCTTTCCGGTTTTCCTGGTTCCCGAGTATGCCATTTTCCTGAAAAAAAAATTTTACGGGGCCGTACGCTAGGACCGCGCATGCTTAGGAGCTGGATTTGATAACTCGAAGTTCTGCATGGGTTGTGAACATCCCTTTAAAATTTCAACCCCCCAGTTTTCTTAGTTCCCGAGTTAGCCGTTTCCTCCTCAAAAAATTTCGCGAGGACGTGCGTGAGAACTACGCGTGCCTGGGGTCTGAATCTGACAACTAAGTTGTACATGAGCTAGGAACATCCCCTTGAAATTTCAGCCTCCTAGCTCTCCTGATTTCCAAGCTAACGATTTTTCACGCCAGGAACCCTGATGGGGCGATATGCGGGAATCACACACGCCGGGGGTTGAATTTGAAATCTTTGAGTTCTATGTGGGCGGAGAACATAACCTCAAAATTTCAGCCTTCTAGCTTTTTTCGTTCTCGAGTTAGTAATTCTCCCGCCAAAATTTTCATCTTCTTACGCGGAGCCCAGAATTGTGTGAGGATTGGCATCGCGCTCCTGGGGTGACACTTGGTCGGGGAACCCACTGGCTAAATTTTGGCGTCGGAGCTTTATTGGTTACTGAGTTGAAATACCCGGACGAACGCACGCACACACACACACACACACACACACGCACACAAACATACACAC